AGGTGTGTGTGAGAGAGAGAGAGAGGGGAGAGTGTATGTGTGTGTGAGAGGGTGCGTGTGTGTATGAGAGAGAGAGAGGTGTGTGTGAGAGAGAGAGAGAGGGGAGAGTGTATGTGTGTGTGAGAGGGTGCGTGTGTGTATGAGAGAGAGAGAGGTGTGTGTGAGAGAGAGAGAGAGTGGGAGAGTGTATGTGTGAGAGAGATGGGAGAGTGTATGTGTGTGACAGAGAGGCGTGTGTGTGTGAGAGAGGGAGAGTGTATCACATACACACGCCTCTCTCTCACACACACATACACTCTCCCTCTCTCTCTCACATACACACGCCCTCTCTCTCACACACACACATGCACTTTCCTTCTCTCTCTCTCTCACACATACACTCCCCCTCTCTCAAACACACATACACTCTCCCTCTCTCTCTTTGATGAACTATTTTTATTTTTTAAATGTAAAATCAACACTGAACTGAATCTATTTACACACACGCGCCATCTCTCTCACACACATACACTCTCCCCATCTCTCTCAGACATACACACGCCATCTCTCTCTCACACATACACTCTCCCCTCTCTCTCTCACACACACACACGCCCTCTCTTTTATATATATATTATATAACAAACTTGTGTTAAAACCTGTGATAAAGTATATACAACTCTTGAACTTCTTCCTTCCATCACGTTTTTGCAGAAAACATATTATTTTCCCTGAGGAATTTTGTTGAGTCAGCGAGATAAAATATTACGGAACGTTAAACCAGTGCAAGTGGAACTTTCTTTTAAAACTCTGACGTGCTTTGATTGTTCTTTCCCGACCCGTTACGAAGTAACCAATGTATTCAACGACATTATTCGGTTTTAATGGCCACTTAAAAGACGGCCGTATGGCACCACGAGAACAGTGTTTAAAGAGTTTCTTCCTATTCACAACGTGAAGCTTTAAAGCGGAGCGTTGGTTATGTCAGATGAGTGTAAATGGACCCCCAAGGGTGCAAGCGCCACCACTTACTTAATGAAAATATTTCCAGTATGTATGTATGTGTATATATATATAGCTCGCTGTATTCGTTTAGTAATGTCTCTTTCTAAGTTTCTTCTAAATTGTAGAAACACGCCGTTTGTGCATATTAAGTCGGAGTAAATGTAATGATTCTGAAACACAACTATTGGAACTAGGAGAAGCAACTTTATCTTTAATTATGGATGAATGATTGTACATACAAACAACGAAAAAGATAAGTGGCGAACTGACTATACATAAAAATATTATACTTTAACAAGTATTCACAAATAACTTCTTGATTTTGTGTTTTTCGACGTATGTGTGTCGTAAAAAAATAGGTTAAATAAACTGCTTATTAAAGTTGTAATGTATTATTGAACAGACTTCGTGTCTCTTTCATTAACACAGAAGCCTGACTTTGGTGTGTGTGTATATATATAGTATTCCAACATTATTTAATTTCTGTAGTGCATATTGATGTGTAGAAGACATATTAATACTAGAAATAAACGACCTTATAACACCAAAATGTTGTTATTATTTAATTAGACACTCAACGTTTCGCTTTACAGCTTCTTCAGGAGCGTTCAGTAAAACACAAACCAAAACTGGCAGTACAAAGCTTCTGTAGTTGTAAACATATTTTATCTATTTTATTAAATATTAAGTCTTAAAGCCTTGACGACATGGTTTTGTAACACCAAATGTAAGGAGAAAAATAATGCCTTGTTTTGAAGATGAACAGTGTTGTTGCTTACAGATTATGTCACGTGATGTGCTGAGGTAGAAAAGGACAACAGTTTTTGAAATTTTCGATTCGAATTCGTGGCGTCGCTCATAATAGCAGGTCAAAAGTGATGCATAAAAAATCTTGTAGATGTTACTGCAAAAGCCTTTCTTCAAAATCGATGCAATTGCTTACTTAACTGGTGTGTTTAACATGAAATATTTATGTGCAATGTAAGGTATGATCAAAGGATAAATCGCTACGTCTGAACTTGAGTTCATTTTTTAAACACAAATAATAAACATGCAAGTCACATATATCTTATAATGGTTTAATTTGTTCGTTTGCGATTATTTCCTTAATCCAAATGTATAAAAATAAAATGAACAATTAGATATATAAGATGTTGGATTATTAGTAACCGTGCAGTAGATAAATAAAACCTCGAACATGGGGAAGTAATTGAAATGTGAAGAAACAGAAAGTGCTAAGACATGAAACAAACGGATATATAAAAAAGGGGGAAATGTAAGAAACTTAGAAAATAGAACGAAAGTCAGAACAAAATATTTTCATAAAAAAAGAGAAAAAAAAGTGAGGAGAGAGAGAGGGAGAGAGGAGAATTAATTTTATATACCACTGAGTAG